AAACTAATGTAAATAAATATTATCTTGAGTTTTTCCTGGTTTGTGGCAACCACGGATAGCAGGCTTTCTCAGCCTTGGTACTGCTGGCATTTGGGCTCAATGATTCTTCGTTGTGGGTAGTTGTTTTGTACATTATAAGATATTTAGCAGCATCTTTGTCCTCCACTCATCAGATGCTAGCACTACATATCCAGTTGTGACAACCACATGTCTCCAGACATTACCAATTGTCCTCTGGGGACAAAATTATTCCAGGCTGGGAAGCACAGATGTATAGAAATAATTGCAGACTATCTTCTCCACAGACTTTTTCCTGATGGAACACCTCTTTGTTTTTTACAGCCAAACTTCAGAGAAGATAAGTCTTTCTCAATACGACATTTTTCTGTCAATGTTTATTCACGCATATTTTAATTTATGTACCTAAAGTGCAATGCAACATTTTAAACAAAACCAAGTATGGGGCACTTTTATATTTAAATTATAAGCAGAATTGATAGACTATCACATTAACGTAGAGAAGTTTTAAAAACCATTCTGTGTCAATAAAAGGGAAGTACACTCGAGATGGTGCTGCAGCCACACCCTGCAAACAAATAACCATTGTGATTATGTGCTGATCAAGAAATTAAAATATTTTAATGTTTTCTAATCTACAATGTTAATTTCTTACTCATATATAGATATTTTACTGCCTTTTACTTATATTTTAGGAAATTGGATGGGAGTTTATCTAATATATATAATATTTATCCTTTAAAATGATGGAAAAGAATTACTCACATTAAGCAGGAGAAACATCTTGGATATTTCCAAATGCATCTCATTTTGTCTTTTCAACTAGATTATAGTTGTCAGCCTCTGCTCTTTTCTCCTTCTTTCTGATTTTCTAATATTTCAATCTGTAGACTTGGACCACAGGGCAAAAACTAGGCTATTCCATTGAAAGGCAAAATGGCAGAGTTTTCAGGGGACAACCACACGTAGGGTGACATTCTCTGAGTGCTTTCAACCTGCAGTTGACCATCCTTCCTTGAGTTTGACCAGTAACATTCAGCACTTAGTGTGTGCTTCTGTAAATAAAATGAGATACGTATTTCCTCATTACATTCATCCTTCTGCATGTGTTTCTATGACACCCTCCCAACAGCCTTGGGAGGTAGGTTCTGTAATCATACCCATTTTAAAGTCAAGGGAACTGCTGGTAAGTGGTGGAGCTGAAAACCTGAACTTGGCTGAAAGATCACCTTTTCTTGTTCCAGACTTCATGCAATAATCCTGTGTGTATTCGTTTTCTATTGCTGCATAACTAATTACCACAGATTCGGTGGCTTAAAACAACACACATATACTATCTTATAGTTTTTATGGATCAGGAGTTGAGGCACAGCTTAAGTGGGTGCCTCTGCTCAGGGTGTCACATGACTGCAA